GCCATCAGGTCAGTCCATGGGATGGAAACGAAAGGGGTCTTGACAAGGCAGTTCAGAGGCCTGGGACTTGGTGCAGGCTCAGGGCAGGTTTGCTTTGGAGATGCACACCAGCGTGAAGGCTAGACTGGGGACTCAGGAAGCCTGAGTTCTAATCCTAGGTGTTCTACGTTCAATCCCCGTGACTGGCATGAGTCACTGTACTTCTCCAAGTTTCCGTTTTCTCATTAGTCAGATGTAATCATCTCCTCACAGTCCCTGTGGCTCTGGGTCTAAGTATTTGGGGGATTTGCAAGTTTTCCATGAGTGTTTTAAATTAGTGTTTCACTTAGTGACAACCTAAAAAAAAACCCTAAGATAAGCCTATTGTGAATCACTTTATAAACTGTGCTGACGCACACTTTAGGTTCCTATTAACTTCAGTGCCAGTGTTTGTATTTTCTTAACAACTTCCTTGACACCAGGCTATACTCTTACAATGTCTTGGCCTAATAAAAAGCAGAAATACACTTTTCAGGCGAAGGATATATTAGACCCAAACTAGGCCAGTTATATCCCAGGAAAGTTTCAGTTCAGCAAACAGGGAAGTTTTGGCTGGTGAATCAAGTCATCACTTTGAACAGGGAAAAGGGGCTTTACAGCCACCCAGAAACAGCATTTTAGCTCCAACAAAATAAAGCCCTGTAATTAATATTTTAACTAGGATTGTATTGACTTTAGTTTTATTTGTACTTAATCTGTACATTTATTTTGGTTTTATTATCTCTATGTGGTATAAGCAAGAGGAATTCACACTAGTTTTGTGCTTGTATGTAAGGAATGATAATTTAAGACATACTGTTGGAATATTTGTTCCTTTGAGAAGAACGTGTACAGCTCTAGCTGGTTGAGGCAGCCAATCAATGATTCTCTCATCATTGATGTTTCTATCTCTCTTCTTCTCCCTTCCTCTCTGAGTCAATAAAAAAAATATATATATATAACGTGTACAAATACTAGAGGATTTTGTAAGGTCCCCTAAAGATCCAACACACACTTCAAAGCTCTGGTTTAAACAATGTCACATTCTGAAAGCTCATCAGTCCTTTCCTTTGTACCCCATGGCACGTAGGACAAAATCCCAGCTCTCACGTGCCCTCAGTCCTCATCCAGCATGTCCTTGGGTTGCTGCGAAATCATTTCCTCAGAAACTTTTCCCCATGCCCATCAGACAAGAGCAGGCCTCCTTGGAACAACGGCCCACACATCCTATTGTCCTGCACAGGAATGTCACAGTCTGATACTATACTTGATCTTAGCCAAATGGCCTAGAAGAAGCGATAGGAATGTCACAGTCTGAAACCATGTAACTGTTAGCGTGATTATTCAGTCATGCTTATCAGACTCCAAGAAGGCAGGGCTTAGGACTGCCTGCCCTGTCCTCTAGTGGAAAGACCGTGCCTGGCACATAGTAGGCACTCAATCAGCCCACTGAGAGTTGTTGTTCTCCCCTCAAGACTCTAAGTTCCCACACACATAGTCAACTGCCTTCACAGCTCCTGGAACAGAGGACCAGAGGGGAAAGTTTTACCCTGAGACCAGAGAAGCTTCTCTGAAAGCCCATGACCAGAGTAAGGGCTGAACAAGGCCGAGGAGACTCCACAGTATCTGCTCTGTGACTTTGGACAGGCTTCTTAACTTGTCTGAGGCTCAGCGTCTCTGCCTCTAAAACGAGATAGTACCTACCTGTAGCAAGCTGAAGAATGGTTTCCCCAGAGTTGCCAATCCTAATCCCTGAACCTGTGAGTATGTTACCTTATACGGCAAAAAGGACCCTGTAGGTGTGATTAAATTACAGATTTTAAGATGGGGTAATTATCCTGGACTGTCTGCGTGGGCCCCATATAATTACAAGGGTCCTTGTAAGATGGAGGTAGCAGAGTTAGTTAGAAAGGTAGTGGAACAAGAATCAGGAGTTGGAATGATGTGCTTTAAAGATGGAGGAGGGGCCTCTAAAAGCTGGACAAGGCAGGGCAATAAATCCTCTCCTAGCCTCCACAAGGCATGTCGTCCTGCCAACACCTTGACTTTAGCACTTGTGACCTCCAGACTTGTAAAATAATACATCTGCGCTGTGTTAAACACAACGTTTGTGCTGCAATTTATTACAGCAGCAGCGGGGTATTAATACACAACCTCACAGGGTTTTTGTGAGGATTAAAATTGTTGACAGGTAAACACTTAAGAGCACCTGGCACATAGTAAATGCTCAAAATGTTGGCTGACATGATTATTTTTGCCGAATTCTTCATATGGGTGTCAAAGTGATCTTTCTAAAGCACACATGTCATCACAAAACCCCTATGTAAAAGCTTTCAGGTGCCCATAGCACACAATGGAAAGACCCCCTCAGTGCCAGACCTCTCCAGCCTTCCCATACTGCTCCCCGACAACCACTACCCACTTCAATCATGCAGAACTACAATTTGTCTATTTACTGTCTGTCTTCCCCCACTGCAAAGAGACTCCATGGGGCCAAAACCGGTTTGGCTCAGTGGATAGAGCGTCGGCCTGCGGACTGAAAGGTCCCAGGTTCGATTCCGGTCAAGGGCATGTACTTGGGTTGTGGGCACATCCCCAGTAGGAGATGTGCAGGAGGCAGCTGATCAATGTTTCTCTCTCATCAATGTTTCTAGCTCTCTATCTCTCTCCCTTCCTCTCTGTGAAAAATCAATAAAATATATTTAAAAAAAAAAAAAAAAAGAGACTCCATGGGGCGAGATCTCTGCCTTAGTGAACTCCGCAGCATCAACACCCAGAAGAGGCCCGGAACACAACAGGCCCTTGATACACAGTTGTCTAAGACACGAATGAGCTCCACCCTGCGTTAGGCTGAGCACACGTAGCTTGCACGCTCCTCAGATCTTTCAGGTCTAGACTCCCGACCCCCTCAGACATTGCCCCGAGTGCCCATGGATCTGACAGCACCCTTCCTCTGCTTAAAACCCTCAGGCTGCTTCCTATAGTCTTTAGGATAAACGCCAAGGCTCGGGGCCTCCTGGTTCTTTTTGTATCTCCATCCTCATTCTAATTACTCTGTAATGCTTCCGGTGCTTGGAAAGGCAGGCCTCCCTGCTCTGGACCCTTACACATTGCTGCTGCCCCTCCCTTACCCTCTTCACCTGGCTAACACTTCCCTATTCCTCTGGTCTCTGCTTGAAGCTCCTAAAAGATATACATTATTTATCTCGTGTCCTGTATTGTCCCCAGGGCCCAGCAATACCAGGCATCTGCTGAATAAATAGAAAGTTGTCATTAGATCATATATACTTCCCGGTGTCTGGCTCACTGATCTTGAATCTGGCTTAGTCCAGACCTGGGGGTTTTACCTTGGTACCCTTTGCCTTGACCCCTGACCCTCTTCCTGAGCTGTACCTCTGCCAGCCCCATAGTGATTACTCATGACTTGATCCTCTACCTTCACCCCAGCCCCCAGACTGCTCAGCACTTACTTTAGCTGCCCCAAATCAGGACCTGGCACCTATGCCCGTGGAAATGGGAAAAAGCACTGTTGTTAAAACCAATAAGACAGCCCCCAGCCACATCAGTGTTCAATGCATACTGATGACATTCCCCTTTACTTGAACTTTTGTCAAAATGTGTACGAAACTTTACATATTTCAATGTTTAATAATCAACTTTTGATATATCTTAAGAAAGTCACTAAAACCAACTAATTAAAACAGTGTCTGTAAACCAGGCAGTAGGGGGTTCTTGCAGCACCTCCTTTTCAATACATTCAGCTTCCTACCACCTAACCAGTGTTCTGGCCAAACTGTGGGTCTAACCAATGTATTATAGATGACAAAATAAATTAGTGTTTCGCACCCTGCACAATTTAAAAAAACAACAAAAAACAAAAATGCAACATAAAATGCCAGAGTACAATGATCATTTTCACAGAACTTTTGTTTCAACTGATACATTAGTTACTAATGATTAGTACATGAGTGTTCTGGGTCATAATGGAGAAACTATTTCTCATTATGCTAAGGTTAAAAAAAATGTGAAAACTCCTGAGTTGGCTAATCCTTATTTTCTGATCGTTTTCCCTCCCGACACCAAAATATTCCCCGTGTTAGTTTGGCCCTGTAAGTGGCTCCTGTATTTATAGCCCCTGGCACTCTAGGCATTGGGATGCTGATCCAGAATAAGCCAGCTGGCCAGGGCCAGAGGCCTCCCCACAGCTACACAATGGATGGGCCAGCTGGGGAAGCAGGTGACCAATCCTGAGGATCTCAAAGCTCCACATCCACCGCCAGGCCGTGGGCTCCCGCACCTCTCACCTGCGGGTGCCGAGCTCCAGGTTTCCTGAGCTTTATCCACACCTGTGCTTCTCAAAGAGGCACGGGCCACACCCCGCTGGCAGAAAGGGTGCATCCATCGCCTAATACGTGGGTGGGGGCTGCCTTGAGAACTTCATGTAACCCCAGTCCACACACTTCCTGTTTGCCTCTCTTTTCCCATCTCAGGCCCCCTTGGACCGGCTTTGATAAGGACAAAAAAAAAAAAAAAAAGAAAAAAAAGGAAAAAAAAAGGCAGCCTCTAGCCCCGCCGGTGTGGCTCAGTGGTTGAGCCCAGACCTAGGAACCAGGAGGTCAACGTTAGACTCCCCCTCAGGGCACAGGCCCGGGTTGTGGGCTTGATCCCCAGTAGGGGGCGTGCAGGAGGCCGCCTAGCCACGATTCTCATCATTGATGTTTCTGGCTCTCCCTCCCCCTTCCTCTCAGAAATCAGTAAAAATATATTTTTTAAAAATGGCGCCTCCATAGGTTCCCGGAGTCATCCAGGAGTGGGTCCTGCGGCGACACCAGCCAGCTGGCTGCAGGGAGAGGGGCGGGCTGGGCACCCTCGGCTCTGGCCGGCGGTGGCGGCGGGAGCAGCGGGGTCAGGGGTGCTGGGTCCGAGCCCTGCCTGGGCAGCCTCTGCGAGCTGGGCCGCCTCCCTCACCCGGCCACGCTTACCCGAAAGTCGTGGGCAGTGTCCTTCACCGCCTGCACGCGGTGCCCCAGGTGCCGGGGGTCGGCCTGGCACGAGCAGCACAGCAGCTCCTTGTCCTCGATGCAGAAGAGGCTGAGCTGGCCGCGGTGCGCGCGGCAGAAGCGCGGGGAGCGGTGGCCGGCATAGCGCCCGCCCTCGGTGTCCTCGCGCAGCAGTTTCTCCACCAGGTTGTTGAGGGTGTGGTTGGTGCGCAGGTCGGCGGGTGCCACCCGGTCCTTGCACACTGGGCAGGTGGGCGTCGTCTGCACCTCCCAGCAGCGGGTCACGCACTCGCGGCAGAAGTTGTGGCCGCAGCGCAGCGTCACGGCATCCCGGAAGGGGTCGTAGCAGACGGCGCAGAGCAGCTCCTCCTTGATGGAGCGGGAAAGCGTGGGGGACAGCGAGGGTTCCGACTCCATGGCACCCACTGTCTGCTGGGTGCCCGCAGCTTCCGCTGCCGCTCCTTCTCAGCCCCGTCGCTGCTCCGGGGACTTCTGGTGAGCGCGGCCCAGCCCTTTCCCTCCAAGCGCTGAATGACAGCCGCGCAGGCCAATCCTGCGGGGCATGCTCAGAGGCTCCGCCCCACTTCCGGTCGGGGCGGAAAACCATGGAGGAGCGCGGAGGGGCTGATCTGTTCCGATGACGCTGCCAGTTCCCCGCGAGGTACCGGGATTTAGCGAGGAGTAAACTCCCCAGCGGCGCTGTAGGTATTCCGTGTCACTGGAAACCTACTTCCGATTTGAAATGGGAAATGAAGTCTACAAGCCCCTTCCTTAACCAATCCCCGAAGGTCAGTCAGGCCCGTGAGGCCCGTGAGGTAGGAAAAGCCAGAGCTCCCCCTTCCTAGATCCGAGGTAGAGTCTCCCCCCAGTTAATCCTCACACGAGGATATTTTTCCCCATTGATTTAAAAAAATGTTTTTATTGATTTCAGAGAGAGGAAGGGAGGGGGAGAGAGAGATAGAAACATCAATGATAGGAGTCTTTGATCGGCTGCCTCTTGCACGCCCCCTACTGGGGATGAGCCCCAACCTGGGCATGTGCCCAGACCCGGAATCCAGCTGCGATCTCCTGGTTCAGGATTCCACATTCAATCACTGAGCCAGGAGGCCAGGCCTTTTTTATTTTTTATTTTTATTTTTTTTAGAGTGTGTGGAAGGGAAGGGATGAGACAAGAGAGAAACATCCATGTGTGTGTGATTGGTTGCTTCTCGCACACACCCGACCAGGGCCTGGGCATTGAGCCTGCAACCCGGGTACATGCCCATGATGGGAACTGAACCCTTCAACCTGCAGGCAGACACTGAGCCAACCCGGCTAGGGTGAGTCTGGTCTTCACAGCGTGGCTAGTGTTTGCACCATTTAGGATTTATAGATCTGTGCCCACTCTTGCATTAGTTGTTTACTTAATATTACCCCCCCTGGGTAAAATCTCTCTTCTCTCCTTGAGATGTTAGGATTAAAGTATGGAAAGTGCTCATGACATCAGGCAGGTACCCTTTAAACAGAGAGCAGGTGCCGGAAGCTGGTCCACCCTTGCTGCTTGACACAGTCGCTGCAGGGAAGAAACATCTGCACAGCTTATGTTTCAAGGCATATATGGCATATGTTTGCCCCCCCCTCTTAGCGCTATGTGTTTTAAACAGGACCACCTCCCCGAGAAAGGTTGTTTCCCCAGGTGAGGATTTTTCCCTGGAGTTAGGGAGGGAATAAAACCCCTTAACTAAGTGCCAGGCGGGTAATTAATCACTTTAACTACGAACAATCACGCTTAGGCTACATAATCTTTACTTAGGATAATCTCCTTCAGTTACTTCCTTGTAGCTTAATAGAACAATAGAGTAACCTTGGAATGGAGATAACAAACGCCCTAACTTTTGGAATAGAATTGATAGGGTTAAAATCAACTGGTATAAATACAGATGTAATAAGACAATAAACACAGAACTTGGCTGGAGAACCCGGCTAGAGAACCTGGCTATGATGATCACCTGAATGCTGCCTCCGTGTCATTCCTTCTTTGCCGACTCGGTCCACACCTTTGGGAACCCCTGGACCTGCTGGGGTTGGACCCCAACAAGCAGGGACTTCTGCAAAGTTAGCTCTGGGACCTAGAATCCAGCCTGGTACAGCATGCCTGGATCTTTCCACCTCCCATTCCTGCCTCTGTTGGATCACTTCACAGCCTTCAGACATATGTGGACGTAAAGGGGCCACATGCTAACCTGACCAACTCAGGGAAGGCTTGCGTGGCAGCCTTGCAAACTCAGAGACCTAAAGTAACCACAAAGGATGGTCTTGAAATTAGAAAGCAGTTTAGCCCTAACTGGTTCAGCTCAGTGGATACACCGTCAGCTTGAGGAATGAAAGGTCCCCTGGTTCCAGTCAAGGGCAAGGGCATGTACCTTGGTTTCAGGCTTGATCCCCAGTAGGGGGTGTGCAGAAGGCAGCTGATCAGTGTTTCTCTGTCATCAATGTTTCTATCCCTCTCGCTCTCTGTAAAAAAAAAAAAAATTATATATATTAAAGAATTAAATAATTAAAGAATCATCCATTTAAAAAATAAAAAAAAATAAAAAGCAGTTTATAGTGGGTAGTCATGTCCCAGGCTGGTATCTTCCCTGACAAAGATCAACTTTGATCTTAACTGAACCTATTTTTACATCTATGATAACAGACCTTTGGAATGTCAGGGTAACTATAGCTTCCATTTTTCCGGACTCCTCGGGGCACAACCAGTGTGCCAGGGGAGAGACCACAAATTCCCACATTGTTATTGTTTAGGTGTTAATGGTTGACTGTTAACTATCCTGTACCCACCTAAGTAAAAGAAGCATGTGTCTACCATTTCACTTTTTATCCAGTTCCAGAGGCTTCCCCACTTTGCTTTCCCACCTCCCTAATCTATCACCAATGGATTTCATGTAAACCCACTAATGTCTTCTCCTTTGATGGTAATTTATAAAACTAGGTGAAAAACCGCCATTCTCTGGAGCATTATCTCAATATGTTGAGGTTCTGCTTCCCGGCAATTGTTGACAGTTTGGCTCAAATAAACTCACAAAAATTCTTTACAGGTTAGAACGTTTCTTGCTTTAACACATAGGATTCCTTTCCCTTGACACACCCATTCCTGGTTTCTGTTGGAAGACAGTTCCTACATATCTTTTTTTATTTTTTTTTTGTTTTTATTGATTTCAGAGAGGAAGGGAGAGGAAGAGAGAAACAATGATGAAAGAGAATCATTGATCAGCTGTCTCCTGCACGCCCCCCAGTGGGGATTGAGCCCAAAACCCCGGGTAAGTTATAGTTCCTGGTTCAAATGCTAACCTTAATGGCAATCTCCAAAAAGGCTACAAGTTGAGGCTAACAACTCCCTGGAAAAACTTGACTTTTCTTGTCTCTTTCTTTCATTGTGTTCTCTTATCTGTGTGTCCCAGTTGCTCTGTGAATTTGTCTGTTTTGCTATCTATGTGTTTCATTCTGTTCTTAAAGGATCTTCCTTGTTTGTCTTGTTTCTCCCCTTTAAACTTTGAGTGGGTAAAGAGTAGAAATTAATTGTATCTCTTTTAAAAAGTAGAATACAAAGGTTGACATTAAACCAGTAAGGTTCTTCAGTCTTTCTGGGAATCCGGAAAGGACTTGGTTCTAGTCCAAACTCCACCACTAGCTAGGGAAGCGATTTTCAACCTTTTCCATCTCATGGCACACATAAACTAATTACTAAAATTCTGTGGCACACCAGAAAATATATTATTTTTGCTGATCTGATACATAAATAGGTATAATTTTGATTTGTTCACACTGAACAGCAATTGTTATGTTGGCTGTTAGAAGTTTTTAATTTGATAGTCTAAGGCAGTGGTCGGCAAACTCATTAGTCAACAGAGCCAAATATTAACAGTACAACGATTGAAATTTCTTTTGAGAGCCAAATTTTTTAAACTTAAACTATATAGGTAGGTGCATTGTTATTAACTTAATTAGGGTACTCCTAAGGCTTAGGAAGAGCCACACTCAAGGGGCCAAAGAGCTGCATGTTGCTCGCGAGCCGCAGTTTGCCGACCACGGGTCTAAGGGAAAAGAGGTCGGTGTCTTTGACTAAAATAGTCAGGTATTGCGTGTTTTAAAAATTCTTGCAGCATACCAGTGTGCCTCTTGCAGCATACCAGTATTGAAAATTGCTGAGCTAGGGGCATGACCTGAGCATAGTATTCCACTTTTCTGACTTCCTTCAACTATAAAAGAAAAGATTGAACTAAATGCTCCCAACTCAGACACTCTGAACTTTTTTTATCCCATGCATAATTTCAGTAAAGAGGGCGACTAAGGCATACCCAGAGCCTGGGAAGGAGAAATCTTGGTGACTATAACCAATTTGTCACCAACCTCTGTTTCTTCCTTCAGTAGAATGGATCTTCATCAGAGGACCCCGAAGTTCAGCTAAACTATTGCACAAGTCTAGTGGCAGTTTTCACTGTCTCTAATTTGTCCCACCTCATACCCCAGGCATCCTTGCTGGGCACTACCACATTTCCAACCTCCCTGTCATCACCATGTAAATTTATGTAAGGAATGACAACTATTTTTTTAAATGTTGTGCCAGAAAAAAAATAAGTTCCTAGGTGCAGAAAGAATGCCCCCCACTTCCCCTTAAAGCAGTTGACTGCAAAGTGGCTACTGCAAATAAAAGGCAGAGATTGTTAGATTAGATAAAAGCAAGCCCCAACTATATGCTGCATAAAAGGAACCCACTTTAAATATAAGCACAGAAGTTAAAAATAAAAGAGAGATAAAGACATACCAAGCTAATAGGAGTCAAAGAAAGCTTGGGTGGATGAGTTAATATCAGACAAAGCCAACTTCGTATCAGATAATCTTGTAGAGATAAGGAGGATGGCTGTTGAATGCAACTGCTGCAGAGCTGGCAGTGGCAAGAACCGTTTCTAGAAATAGGCAACCACAGTGCAGTCATAATTGAGTTTGTTTAGTAAAGTGACCGAGGAAATCACGGTAGTCTGATGCTGGATGTGGGACACAGAGATGGCTTGGGTCTTCTCTGAGGCCTAAATGATGGACATAGGAGGCAGGGGGCTCTGAGTTGGTTTGAATAATGCAGGGAGATCTTCTGTAAGAAATAGTGCTGGCAGTTCCTGCGGCTGCCACACTACTTTAGGTCGGGATCGGTGGGGAGGCCGGGGCTGCCGCATCAGAGCTGATGACGGTGGATGATGTGGGGCCACCGCTGGTGCCCGCATTTCTGGTTTGTGGTCCCCACCTCCTCACATGTGTAAACAGTGACGGGGCCGCTACATAAATCCCTTCACGGTGGACAAATGACCATGGAAACAATTGAATCTCAACAGGATGGAAGTGTAACAGATTCTGTGACAGAGAGAGAAACTGCAAATATGCAGGCCCAGACTGGTCAAAATTCAATCCCTAATTTAGCTCAGGTTTCTGTAGCTGGATCAGGCACCGGAAGGGGTTCCCCAGCTATAACTCTAGTACAAAAATTTATGCACCCGGGGGAGGG